TTTTTATGGCACTGTTAAAGGGGTCATATGATGCGATTTCATTTTTTCCTTTCTCTTTGGAGTGTTACAAGCTCTTGGTGCATAAAGAAGATCTGTAAAGTTGCAAAGACTAAAGTCTCAAATCCAAAGAGATATTCTTTATAAAAGTTAAAAGTCAGCCACACCTACTTAAAACGGCTCGTTTGAACACGCCCCCACATACCTACCTCACTATGTGGGAAGATTTGCATTACGCCGCCCAAATGTTCACGCAAAGAAAGAAGGCGTAACTTTTATTCTCGCTGTAGTATTGTTGCCGCTGCCGCCATGTCCTGAAGACGCTGTGTGCCTCCTTGTGAAAGTGAAAATACTTTGTTTGGCCTTCCAAAAGAGGACGATATCCACTTCGTCATGCCTAGAGCTGATCTGTGCTGGTCGCTGAGGAAATACATCAACTTAGTGCTGTGGATCGCCGGCACATTTTATGGAGGACTGTTTACTGATCCTTGGAGAGTAACGTTAGACTAAAATGCCGGCAGTTCTGACTCACGTAAGCAAGTTTTCTTTTATCATTTGCCACTGATGATTCAAACGCGAGTTTTGGGCAGTGTGGAGTACCACTTGTTGTTTGTCATTTCTCCGATCACAAATGCAGACATGGTTTTATGTTTACGCGGCACGATGCAACGCGTAAAAAGACAGTTCAAGTCATTATAATCAGTAATTATGTCCCAGCTGGATGCAACAAATGCCTTGTTTATAATGGGGTTTTAATGTTTTTGTCTCGTCGCTCCGGCCGGACAGGGCATCACAGTATGGTAAGAGGCGTAACATTTCCGTCACACGCTTGAGGTATTCGGCCAATCACAACACACTGGGTAGCTGGCCAATCACAGCACACCTAGCTTTTTCAGACCGATGAGCTTTGAGAAAATCGACGCATTTCAGAAAGGCGGGGCATAGAGGAGAAACAATAATGTACAGTATGTGGAAAATAATGTGTGTTTTTTTTTTTACTTTAAACCGCATAAACGCATTTCATTACAACAAATACACAAAATAATGTTCTTTTTAGCAACATCATATGACCCCTTTAACAATCAGTTTCTACTGTTGGACGCTATTTAGTATGCACATAAAAGAGTGATTCATTTCCTTTTATCCAAACATATGTAAAACAAATAAATGTAAAAAAAAAATGGAATCACCGAAAACAAATTACATTTGTTTGAAATGAGAAAAGAAAGGTAAAGCTTCAAACCAAGTCAAAAACCTACATTTTTCACATAGTCTTCCAATGGCTGCAAAGAAAGGAAAGATCCAATTAAATTCAACGTAATTCACACTTGATCAAACGGAAAACACGCAACTGAACAAAACAGCAAAAGGTTAAAAAATAATAATAACAATACTGCCAATACCTGATAAAGCCGTTAACTACTAACTAAAGCATTAATCGCCTCCAACTTTCTTTTTAAATTGTACTATTCATTCATTTGATTTTAGCGCTAGCAAACGTTCTCACTGCTTTGTTAGCTTCACATTTGTTCGTTAAACAAATATATTAAATAGGTATATTAAACTAAGGTATTAAACTCTAAATTTAGATCTAATAAACAGCAATCTTACCAACTCCAGCCTGTTTCCTGCAAAAAATCAAATCAGGGTGATGTTTTGCCATAATGAAAGAACAAGCGCAGAATGCTAGCCACACACTAGCGGCGATGACCTCCGAACTCCCTTCTTCTGAGGATTTGGATTGAAGGCTCCTCAGCATCTTAGTGCCACCTACTGGACACAGGACAACACTATGTATTACACCAGATGCGTACTACTAAAATAGAGACGTGTTGAATCCGTGTATCATTCGATCATTCGTTTTTTAATTTAATATTGAAAGTAGAAAAATTTGAAAACGGCTCCTTTTTCGTTTTTTCGTTTTTTTCCAAAAAACGAAAAAACGAGAATTCAGCTTAAATTTTCGTTTTTCGTTCATGGGTGGAAAAATATGGAAGCCCGTTTCCGCCACTAAATAAAAAAATATAATTCTGTAAGTCATAATAATGAGAAACTTTCTCGTAATAATGACTTAGTTTCTCGAAATAATGACTTATTTTCTCATAATAATGACTTAGTTTCTCGTAATAATGAGAAACTTTCTCGAAATAATGACTTAGTTTCTCATAATAATGACTTA